TTCCAGATCTAAAGCTGATTGAATTAAATCTGGGAGGCCCAGGTATTAGTAGTTTCAATTCAATAAATTGTGTCCATGGAGAATTGATATGAAATTATCTAAGATTCATTAGAATGTTGTTAGTGATAGAAGCAACTAAAAGAATGAAAACAAAGTAAAATAATTGGGGGGGAAATGTTTGTGGTGTCAGTGGAGACACTTCAGGTTTCATATAGCAAATCCAGTTTCAGTCCTCAGCACCTCAAGGAAGGGATAGAAAGAATTCTTCCTTACAAAAATAATGTTTGTAGTCACAATTACTATATTAGACTGGGTGGATCAATTGGTCTGATTTACTACAGGTAGTCCTTGTCTTACGATCACCATTGAACCCCAAATTTCTGTTGCTAAGTGAGGCATTTGTTAAGTTTGTTAAGAGCCTTGGTAGTACAGTGGTTTAATGCACCCTGTTATTAACACAGCTGCCTGCAATTTCTGCAGGTTCGAATCTTACCAGGCTCAAGGTTGACTCAGCCTTCCATCCTTTCTAAGGTAGGTTAAATGAGGACCCAGTTTGTGGGGGCAATAAGCTGACTTTGTATAAATATACAAAAGTATGAAGGCTATTGCTTAACGCATTGTAAGCAGCCCTGAGTCTCCGGAGAAGGGCGGCATGTAAATCAAATTAAAAAAAAAAAAGTTCGCTTTGCCCATTTTACGACCTCTCTTGCCACAGTTGTTACGTGAATCACGGCTGTTGTTAAGTTGTTAATGGCTATTAAGTGAATCTGGCTTCCCCATTAATTTTGCTTGTCAGAAGGTGGGAAAAGACCCCAAGATACTGCAATCATCATAAATATGAGTCAGTTGCTAAGTTTCTGAATTTTGATCACATAACCATAGGGTTGTAAATATGAAAAATGGTCATAGGTCATTTTTTTCAATGCTGTTGCAACTTTGAATACTATTAAATGAACTGTTGTAAGTTGAGGACTACCTGTACCTTGTCCTTGGCCACATTCGTCATCATGATGTCTCCCCTGCCAGGTAAGTATTCTCTGTGTAGCCAGTCCACAATGAATCACCCTTCATTCAGTGACCGTTACATAGGTGCTGAATAAGAGGGATGGAGCTACAATGGATCCTTGTAATTGCATTGTCACAACATCCCCATAATTATGTAGTCCTAATTCAAGAACTTGGCAAGTAGCTCGTAGTGATGACATTCTAGCTTCCCCCAGTCACATGGTTGCCATTTGCAACCTCCACCGCCAGCTTCTGACAAGTAAAGTCAATGGGGAAGCCAGCAAATAGTGATCACATGATTGTGGGATGCTGTCAGTACATGGGATTTGCCTAACAACAGCAACTGGGACTATCACAACTGATATCATACGTTTACCTGGCCACATAACATAGCATTTTACAATTGCATAGCTTTAACAGTAGAGCATCTCATCCAAATTACTGTTATTAAGCGAGGGATTACTTGTATATGGAAACAAAAGGCACAGCTACTTTTAGTGGTTATTGTTCAAAAATAATAGAAAATAATACTTAAATGTGTCTGAGCTTGCTTGTTTTCTTGGAGACGTTTCATTACCCTAACTAGGTAACATCACCAGTGTCAGTTCTGATGATGTTATCTAATTAGAGTAATGAAACATCAAGAAAACAAGTAAACTCAGAGACTCATTTCAACCCTGAGCTACAAATATTCTCCTTTATTGGTACTTAAATATGTAGATTCCATTCGGAAAGGGAGCTTGCACACAAGCATAACTTTACCATTACATATAACTTTGTGATCCAGCTGTATTTTTTTTATTAAATATTCTGTTTTTGTTCTGTAATTACAAACAGGATTCAAAAGATAATATTCTTCTCCAGGAACTAAAAGATTTTCTAAATGTATTCTCAAGGAAACTCTATGCTTGACTGAATTGGAAGAGAATGTTTAAATTCTCACATGCAAGAGAAGCACTAGCACTGATTAAAAGTTTGCATCCCTGATTATCAGTTCCTGTCAAAGGAACATCTTTTAAAGAATGGCATGAATATAACTCTGAAATTGACAGACCTAATCAAAACACATCTCCCTCTAAAATTGTCTAAAAATTAATCAAGTTAGTCACTGAAATGTCAAATATTTCCAAGTATTCTCAGAGCAACTATTCAATAGTTACGTAACTTATTTCTTCTCTATCTATATCCAGCTTGAATTAAATCCACTTCTGGCCATTTTAGGGCTAGACTTATGTTGTACTGAAAACTATTTTCCAATTTCGAAAAATGTTTCTATTTTTCTGTTGCATTCTCAGGCACTTTCAACTTTATTGAATATTTCTTTTGGAATGGCTGGGCTTCTGGTGTGATGGTTGAATGAGCTCTGCTATTTTTTCTTCTGGTCGTAAGTGTGAGGACTGGTCATAAGTCACCTTTTTCAAAATTATTGTAACTTTGAATGGTCATTAAATGAATGGTTGCAAGTCGAGAACTACTTGTAAAGGAATCCAAAATTCTACCAAAATGTTACGGTTTTCCTTTGAAAAATGGAAAATAGTTGATTTTCCAAGAAATTGAAATAGTATAGCTCAACGGTCTTTAAAGACTGTAATCTTGTTTGATACTGATAAGCATTTTATTAGTTTGATTTATATCTGCCACTAACAAAAGACTCTTGGGAGATTCCATCCACCCATAAAAATACAGTAAACATAGAAAGGATCAAACAATGAAATAATGACAGTTGCCCATATAAGACTCAGTCAACCAATTAACAACTAATGGCATCGATTTTTTAAAATAATTTATGAAAAGCTAGTAATGCAGAAATGATTAAATTTATGAATGGGGGCTATGCCAAAGCAAAGATGCCTCAGAAAGGGTTCCTATCCCTCTCAGTTCATGAAAGTGGGAAAAACCATAGGAGGTTTTCCTCGAAATTCAAGTTATTTAGTCCTGCAAATACTCCTGCGACAACTGAAATAGGGCTATAAAAGTAAAAACTACCACTTTAACTTGCACTTGGAAAGTCATAAGGGGTATGCAAACTATGAAGCTCTTCCTGTAAGTACATAACAAAAGCCAGGGAGGGCACTGCTTTCTGGATTAACTGAAACATCTAGATAGTCTTCAAATGCTACTGTAATATAGAGTGTTCTGCAGTAATCCAGACAAATGATAATCAGCTCCTGATTGTCCAGCTGCCCACAACGGACTCTGCCCGGGTAGAGTCAAAACTTTGGCAACTCTGAGCAACATTATCAATGAAATGCTATGCTAACATAGCACCCAGGCAAGAAACGTCAGTATTGCCTTCTCCCTCCTGAAAGACAATGAAGAGAAGATTCTGGGAGACCAAGAAACAGGCAGGCTAGTTTGATATGCCATGCTGGAACACCAGTGGGAATGGTAGAGGAAAGGATGAGGGAAAATACTAGGTAGATCAGGTGGTTTATTAGAATACATTGTGTAGGGCAGGGATCTGCAACCTTAAACACTTAAAGAGCCATTTGTATCTGTTTCCCACAGAAAAGAAAACGGGAAGGGTTTTGTGGCTCCCGGTGCCCAAAAGATTGGGGACTGCTGTCTTAAAAGATGACCCAAGGAGTCATGGATTGTCTAGTATTTTATACAATCAACTTTTGGACTGTATGTTAACTTCAGAGCAGTGGTAAAATCTAAAATTTGTTACTACTGGTTCTGTGGGCGTGGCTTGGGGGGGTAATGTGACTGGGTGGGCGTGGCCATTTTTTTTTTTACTTTTAAAAGCATTTTTTCTACAACCTCTTTGGCGAAGAGGTTGTAAAAAAATGCTTTCAAAAGGCTCTGACGATCCCAGCTGAGTTGGGATCATTAAGAGGCATTTAAAAGAAAAAAAAGGGTTTTTTTCTTTTAAAAGCCTTTGACGATCCCAGCTGAGCCACACGATCATCAGAGGCTTTTTTTTTTTTTACTTTTAAAAGCATTTTTTCAGCTGAAGAGGTTGTAGAAAAAATGCTTTTAAAAATAAAAAAAAAGCCTCTGATGATTGTGCGGCTCAGCTGGGCATGGGGGGAGGGAGGGATTTTTGCTACCGGTTCTCCAAACCAGCTGCCTCCATCGCTACTGGATCGGGTGATCCGGTCTGAATCGGGAGCATTTCACCCCTGTTTCAGAGGCACCTGTTACAAGCCAGTATGACATCAAAACACGATGTGCCTCATGCAATTGTCATTTGCCCTACTGTTAGTTACGGTGGTAACTAACTTTAAATATGTAGATCGGAGACAGTACATGGTGACAACATTCATATTTCCATTCAGAGAAATATCCCGAAAATTGGAAAAAAAAGAGGCCATTATAAATGTTTTATGCATTGAGGAATCTTCATACATTTGCAATAAGCACTATCTCCATACCTAAAATAGCATAAGCTTATGTGCTGCAGATTGCCATAAAGAGGAATAACTGCTGTGATAAAGGTTGGATGGTAGGCAATATTCTAAATGCTACAGTAACCTTTATAAGAATACAAGCAGTGAATCTGCATAGTATAAATTATGATTATGATTCTGAATGTGTTACCCCATCTTTGTGAAATAAAGAATTTGATATTTCAGTTTCCTCTTAAGATTTTGCTGTGTATAAGCTTCTCTCTCCCTCTCCCTTCCTCAGATTTCTTTAGGGCTACAGCTTTCTTTTACTCTCAAATCTTTGGTAGATGCCCAGATTTTAGAAGAACAGCTGTTCTTTAGAATGAGACACTGGTATTATTCAAGCCAAACACCATGCCTAGCTTTTCTGATAACAGCCAAGGTCAGTTCTCCAGCACTATAAGTTATTCCTTCATATTTAATATGGAATTTGCATGACAACATCATCCAACTATAGACCTGCTGTGTTCGCCTCATGCACATGTTATATTTTCTAGATTATAGAAAGTGCACTTAAAAAAAAGCTCTCTCTTCTGTCTTTCTGGTTATAAGCACCAGACTAGCGTAAACATTTGGAGAATATTAATAAACCTTTTTTTTCCCCAGAATCTCTGACTTTTATTTACAAAACAATCCGTTTCTGAGCTCTAACCACAAAGATGCAAAAGAAACAAAACAAAAAGAAAAACAGAGGGAAGATTTTAGGGTAGGCGGCGGGGAGACGGAGAAGGTGTTTAAAAAAAAAAACAAGAAGGGAAAAAAAAGAGAGGAGGGCGTTTCAGACCTTGAATTCCTTGTATTTCTTGGCTCTGGCTCGGCTGTCCTGAGGCTGTGCTTTCTGCTTCTTTTGCTTCTGTTTGGCCGCGTGCTCGGCCACCATGTCAAAATCCTCCTTCTCCACTTGAGCCTGTTGTTCTCACACGTGCTCATCGTACTTCTGAGTCATGACCATGGGATCGAGCTCCAACTCCTCAGGCGCCAGGGCGACTTCCACCCCTTGGATTTCGGGAACTGGCCCTTTGCGGCTCATGACCGTGGTCATGTCATAGACTGTTGGCATCTGCTTCTCTGGAAGAACTGTGAATAGTTGGGGCGTCTCGCTTCCGTCCATGGCTTCCTCAATCTTCTTCTTACGCAGCTCAATCAGTTCCGGTGTCTCCATGCCAGCGGGCACCGAAGGGAAGCCCCCTGGGGTGATTAGGCCGCTATCGGCAGGGGTGATGAAGCCCCTCTCGTCCGGCTTCTCTTCGTCGCTATCCTTGTCTTCTTCCTCCTCTGAGGATTCTTCGTCAGACAGCTCCAGTTCCCCCCAAGGGGTCCAGTCTATCTCTTCTTCTTCGGTCTTAGCCTGGAATTCAGCAGCATTGGTCCCAAAGACATCGCCATAGAGTGGCTTCCCTGTCTCGTCCACAGGTGGTTTACCCCAACCTCCGGAGTGATATCCAAATGAGCACCCCTCTGGGATGGGACAATTCAAACCCAGGATTTTCAAGTTGGGGTAGGAAGGTGGTGGGCCGTAGCGCTGCATGGCGATCAGCCACGGAGGGGAAACTTTGTGGGCGTTCGGCCCCACGGGCATCCCCAGGGTGATGCGCAGCTCGTCTGAAAGATCTCCCGGCTTTTTCTCCTTCAGACGTGTCTTGAACTCTTTGCCCTCGTAGTACAAGTAACCGTGAATGGTCAGCTTTGGCTTGATCTGCCATTTGAAGAAGGCGTCGTGCAGTTTCTGGTAATCGATGTCGATTTTGCCCATCTTCGGCCAGACTTTCTCCTGCATTTTGGATTTCATGTTTTTTTGTTCCTCCTTTTCCTGCAGGGCTTCCCTCATCTCTTGGATCCCGGTGCGCTTAATGAATTCCGGCAGCTCAAATGGCGGCTTCTCGATGCCTCTCTTCCCCTGGAGATATTTACATTTAAAACACCAGTTGCGGGGCACGGGGACCGAGTTGCGGGTGGCCTTCAAGTGGACTAGCAGCTTGGGATCCTGCACCGTCACATCGTGCATCTCCACCACATCGGGGTTTATATTAATAAACCTTCTAAACCACTGTTACAGTATGTGTGTGCACGAATGGGTGGGACAGCATAGTCTATCATGGAGAGAGAAACAGAAAGAGAGAGAGAGAGAGAGACAGACAGACAGACAGACAGAGACAGAGAATATAAAATCACTTACATCTCTACATGTAAGACACAAGTGAGCTATGATGAGCTTCCCACATTCACAAGATTTTAGAGAGAACCCCAGAAAACATCTGTTTTAACTCAATAAGAAGAGGTAGATAGGTAGTTATATAGATTGGTAAGCAATCACTTTTAACTTTAGAGAATTATTGGGCTCAAACACCAAAACTAAAAGGAAAGAATAATGCTAGATAATGTTTCACTCATCCTGTAATTCCCCAGCAATTCCCTCCACCAAAAGCCCAGAACTGTCCCAATGAAGTCCAGCCAAAAGCAGACAGATGCTAGTCCACAAATGGGTTCACAAAGCATTTGAAAGTTTCCCAAATAAGACAAATCCACCAGGCAAAATTAAATCCACACACAAGAAGATTCACAAGGCACAAAAAATTCCAGAGTTCAGAAGGCACAATTCAAAGTCAAGGCACAGTGTCAATCCAAAGCAAGGCAGGAATCTCAATGATCAGGAAACACACAGCTAGGAAATGTACACTTTATTCCCAGCATTGCCTCCATCTGTCTGCTGTGCTAAATAGCCAGCTTCTGGTGTAGCCCATCAGGAGGGATGAGGCTGCCTCCTCATGAGTAATCAAGCTGACCTTCACTGCTCCTGCCTCTTCTCTGCCCTACATGTTCTTGGATCAGATGCAGAAGGCAGTTCCTCATCATCATCACTGACCAGCTGCAACTATGTACTTTCCCACCTGAAGCCTCAGGGCAGCTGTGCTTCAGCCAAATCACTCTCAGCTGGCTGCTCAGAACATACATACATACATACATACATACATACATACATACATACATACAAACACAAATTCATTATTATCCATTGATCGTAAATATGGCAAGCAACCTCAGATCAAAAGTGCTTGGGGGAGAGACTCTATATTGTGGGTGTCCAACTCAATCACATCACGGGCCGGATGGTGACGTATTGCAATGTTTTTTGCCTTTGTGGAGCTGGGGTAAGCATGACCTGCATGTGACATATCTGGCCTGCGGGCTGCCAGTTTGACAGGCCTGCTCTACATGGAAATTCAAGGTAAATAAGCACAACTAAAACTAAAGCTAACCAATTTACAGATAGTCTCTAAGTAGCATGTAATTCCAATCACACACAGCCAGAAAGAGACTACATTTAAAACAGCATGTAATGCTGTAATGTTATCACATGCCAGGAGTTATTTTCACCATATCAATATATGCACTGTCAAGTTGGCATTATGTCAGTTCGGCTAACATGAATAGGCGGAGCTTTTCAAAGAGCAAAATCAGACAGCATAAGAAAACATTTCACAGACTACTTTTCCCTCCTTTAAAGGGGACTTCGTTCTCACCGTCTGGGCACAGATTAGAGTAGACTACTAATACAGTAGGTTCTGTATTAGAACCTACCTTAAGGTAAAAGTGGTGAAGGAAGCTCACTTCTCTACTAATATCTCATCTGCAGATAGCCAGCCAGCCAGTTTTGGATGACCAGGTGGAACTGGAAGGCTGCCTGAAGAGCTCATATGAGGGTTTACTCAGAATTGATTCTGGATGGGAGGTTGATCCTAAGGAAGTGAACATGATACTTGTTGCTGTAAGTTCTGTCACCTGTGTTCTTGACTCATACCCTCCCTGGCAGTTTAGTATCTCTGGAAATGGGGTGTGGTTAGGGGCAAGTGGTGATTAACGTATCTCTGCTTTGAAAGAGGTGGTGCCTGGACCTTTCTCAAAAGGCCATTCTTGGATCCAACTGGGTTCAACACTTTCCATTTAGTTTCCATCTTTCCTTTTTTAGAGAAAGTTGCTGAGGTGGTGACCATTCATCTTCAAAGGATTCTGGAGGAAGTGGACTATCTAGACCTTTTTCAGTCAGGATGCAGACTAGATTACAGTATTGAGATGGCATTGGTCATGCTTCTGGATGACCTTTGGAAAGTTCGGAATGGGGGACAGCAAATGTATTACTTATTGAGCTTTTCTAGACAACGAAAGTTATTCATGTTCTAAAAATCTCAGATTACCAGTAATAAGTATGTAGAGGAGATGAAGTGTTTCTTTCAGAAGCTGCATCTTAGGCAAAATGGGGCAGCCAGATAGCTTAATGAGACATCTTGCAATGTACATATTCATCCTTATTGATTGAAGCCAACTACACTGACAACTAAGCAATTATTTAGCCAAGTTTGGGAGTTTTGTTCTTGAAATATAAATAAGACCTTAAATAATTTGATATCGGGAGACTTGGCAGACTGTCTTTGCACCATGGACTTGGCTGATTGAAAAGATCATCAAAGAGCATCCCACTACATGTGCCAAGTTTGATAGGGAGTCATATGTGATTATTTATGAAGTTATTTCAGTGGGAGCACAAATTGCTCAAATTCATCCCCCATATAATACGTTATGCACTTGCTATTAGACCTTTCAGAGGACTGTCATCCTATTCTTCCTTGTAACAATGTTAGTTGGTGGTTCTATTCTCCTTTCGGTTCCTCTCCCAAATTTTAATGAATTTTATGCTGCTTTAATGCAGTGTTTTTATACTTCATCTTATAATATTATTGCATACTATTTTGAGAATAGACATATATTAAATAAATGATTACACTGTAAAGTGATTTGCAGCTCAAAAACAGACACAAAAATAGAAATACACAAAAGGGCAGACAAAAATGGATATAAGAAATGTTTCTTATAAATTGTGTATGTCAAGAAAAATTTATACAGAATGCCTTATGGGTTTTCATGCAGATATTTTTGATAAAGTCAAAATAAACCCAAGGTCACTAAAATGAGAAATGGAGTGAAGCTAATCTACAAAAGTTGCTTCTACCAACATTTTCACACAGTTAATGCTTGCATATGTCCCACTGTGAAAACAAAAAAAATGAAAGGCCATCATGTCAAGAAACAAATTTTGCTCTCCACTAAATACACCTGGCAATGGCAACAGTTAAGTAGACTTGCTTTGTATGATTGTTTTCAGGATAGAACAAGGAATTTTTTTTTAAAAAAAGTTAAAAAATGAAGGCCTGGTTGAAAGGCCTCTACATTAAAATCTCCTTAGCATAATTTGTTGGCATAAAATTTCTAGGAACTTAATATTTTTGAACAAAAAAGTGGAAGAACTACTATAGGAAAACAATTTTGGCGTCCCATACTGTAATCACCTTTGGATTTCAAGTAAAAGAGGATTGTTGTCCTATGTAAATTGAACTATTAACCTAAACTGCTACCCTATCAGATACAGAAGGAATATGTTAATCAATTTAAAAATCTTATTTGATATGGAAATACAGTATTAACAGTTCCCTACTAGACAGCTATCCTATAAGGGACTGAGGGAGATAAGTCCATCACTCTGATGCAAATATATACAATATTTCCTACTGACAATCTGTTTTTATGATTCATGGTTACAGGACAGTTCAAGAGTTGGATCTTCCCTAAGTCTAATGATCTTTTCCCCTTTATATGGCATAAGATGATTAATATGGAGGTCTCCGTAGAAGAATAACATTTTTTTGAAGAGGTAGCTAAGCTAAGTATAGATTTCAATTCTTTTAAAAATTGACTTCTGATAGTGGAGTTAATGGAATGTTCTAATGTAGGTGTACAAATAAGCTCAAAATTCTGCACAATGCCATAAGGATAGAATAGAATGGAATGGAATGGAATGGAATGGAATGGAATGGAATGGAATGGCATGGCATGGCATGGCATGGCATGGCATGGCATGGAATTCTTTATTGGCCAAGTGTGATTGGACACACAAGGAATTTGTCTTTGGTGTACATGCTCTCAGTGTACATAAGGAGAATAAAATACATTCATCAAGAATAAAAAGATACAACACTTAATGATAGTCAAGGTTACTAATAAGCTATCAAATCGTACTAGGAAACAAATAAAAACAATATAAATTGAAAGATACAAGCTACACAGTTATAGTAATAAGTGGGAAGAGATAGATATTAATAAGAAGAGAAGAATAATAGTAATACAGTCTTAATAAATTATTTGACAGTGTTGTGAGAATTAGTTGTTAATCAGGGTGATAGTATTCGGGAAACAACTGTCCTTGTGTTTAGTTGTTCTGGTGTGCAGTGTTCTATAGTGTCTTTTTGAGGGTAGAAGTTGAAACAATTTATGTCCAGGATGTGAGGGGTCTGTAGATATTTTCACAGCCATCTTTTTGAGCCCTGAAGGATCTCCTTTGAAAGGAAACATTTTTTGAGAACCAGATTATCTCTATGCTTACTGGTGGTTCTTCACAATTCATATATGTGTTTTCCCATGGATAAAGAAAAATCAAATCCATAAAGACAATCAGAACCAGAACCAGCCCCCTGGCAGGATCCAGGAGAAGAGCATTCTCTTCCACACCATCCCTCTGGAACATTCTATCCCACCGCCCAGTTGAGGCCCCCACCCTCCTGCCCTTTCCAGACTGGCTCTCCCAGTTGGCCTGAAGACCCAATGAAAGAGTACCACATTGGAGGTGGCTATTAGATTAATAGCAGATCCCAACTTTCCTCCCCCCATGCATCCTTCTCCCTCTTTGCCCATCTTTTAATTCACATATTGCTGTATTTTCATTATTTGTTTATCTTCATTGTTTTACTATTGCTATATTTATATTTTTGTTTTCTCAGGTTTTCGCGGGTGTTTGTATGTAGGACTTTGGTTATTTGGGTCTTCTCCCACGTAAAATTGGAAGTGTCTTGGCGACGTTTCGATGAAGTCTCATTCGTCATCTTCAGGCTGGTGTTCTCGGCTTCGTGCTTCCAGGAGCAATTTTACGTGGGAGAAGACCCGAATAACCAAAGACCTACATTTATA